TTAGACCTGGTTTAGACCTGGTTTAGATGGTTTAGAGATCTGGTTTAGATCTGGTTTAGACCTGGTTTAGACCTGGTTTAGACCTGGTTTAGACTGGTTTTAGACCTGGTTTAGATCTGGTTTAGATCTGGTTTAGACCTGGTTTAGACCTGGTTTAGACCTGGTTTAGATCTGGTTTAGACCTGGTTTAGACCTGGTTTAGACCTCCTGGTTTAGATCTGGTTTTTAGACCTGGTTTAGATCTGGTTTAGATCTGGTTTAGACCTGGTTTAGACCTGGTTTAGATCTGGTTTAGATCCTGGTTTAGACCTGGTTTAGACCTGGTTTAGACCTTGGTTTAGACCTGGTTTAGATCTGGTTTAGATCTGGTTTAGATGGTTTAGACTGGTTTAGACCTGGTTTAGACTGGTTTAGATCTGGTTTAGATCTGGTTTAGACCTGGTTTAGACCTGGTTTATTCCTGGTTTAGATCTGGTTTAGACCTGGTTTAGACCTGGTTTAGACCTGGTTTAGACCTGGTTTAGACCTGGTTTAGATCTGGTTTAGACCTGGTTTAGACTGGTTTAGACCTGGTTTAGACCTGGTTTAGATCTGGTTTAGATCTGGTTTAGACATGGTTTAGACCTGGTTTAGACCTGGTTTAGACCTGGTTTAGATCTGGTTTAGACCTGGTTTAGTGCAATGAGTGGAATTACCCGGAATATAGCCCGGAATGTGAAAACAGGAAAATATCACCGTGTAATCCACTTATTTCAACAAAGTAACTGTAATCCAATTACCACTCACTGAAACAGTAACTGTAACTGAATACAGTTACTCATAAATTGTACTCTGATTACGTAACTCCAGTACATGTAATCTGTTACTCCCCCACACTGATAAAGGTCCAGCAGCCACTGTGTCTTTGATGGTATCACAGATGATGTGCCTGTGCTCTTTGACAAAGAAACGCATTGTGCTGGTGAAGACAAATCACTGGTCTCTTCCCTTCATAATCTGCTGGATTAAGGTCGGTTTAGTCGCTTTAGTGGAACATCTGAACTTTCGTTTTCCATTATATTGTGAAGCATCATCATCTTCTGTCACAGAGAAGCAATGCCAGGCCAACCCTTTTTCACTCAAGTACCAAAGATGTCGACTGAAAGCTGCTTTTTTAACAAGTGATTTTTCATACTGTGACATCTTCTTAAGAAAATAAATACAAAATACCAAAATACCAAAAACGCAAAATTAGTCAACCTCTAAAACATTTATTTTCTTTCTTTCTTCCATATTTCTTCCTAAATTCTTCTTCTAAATCATCTAATGCAGGATTCTAATCGAGGTTATCGCAAATTTTGTCTTTACCATGCTTGGACGGATCACCCTAGTGAAGGTGTCTGGAGTTTCAAAACACGGTGGAGCACTTCCTGTATTACTACATGACATCACAGGGCGCGACACGGCGTTTTCCGTTTGAGAGAGGAACAAACGTGCGAATGAAACAAAAACACAACTCCAGGTATGTTTGCGATGAGGAAACAACGTGATAACACACAGATCAGATAACAGCGTGATCTTTAATCCTCCTTTAATTCCAAACACATAACGATCAGGTGAAACTTTTGTGGATCTTAAATTTGGACATTTCTTCCAAAAACTCTCACATAGAGTTACATCGGCTCTGTCTCTTAGTCTGAAATCTAGAACGTGAACACAACCTATTTTGGCTCATATTTTAAGCTTTTTTTCCCATTCAAAAGATTTCATATTTTGTTAATCGCTATGGCAATGGACCTAATGTTTCGTCATTCTGAAACCAATGTAAACACACAAGTCAATTCTTATTATTAATGCTTATTTTTGGTAACTTTGGGGGTAAAATGTAATTGTCGGGTTTGGACACACTTTCTCATTCAGGGTTGTTTTTCTGTTTTTTTTTTTACATTTTTGGCGCATATGGAATTATATATAAAATACATGAAGTTAGACATATGGAAAAATGTAGTAAAAAAAAGTTCAAGTTAAAGGTGTATTGTGTAACTTTTCTGGTGGAGGGTGGATGTTATTGCTTTGTCTGGAATGTTTCACAGTATGGCATTAAACAGGGGTGGGCAATTATTTTCTCCATGGAGCCACATGAAAATACCGTGAAGGGCCAAAATGTTTAACTCAGTTCTGCATAATATTAATTGTATTTCTTCATAAAAAGCAGTAAATAGAATTGTTTGGACAAGCTGGTCAGACTGGTAAGAGTTTATGTTGTGACTAAGCAATGAAAAAGTGAGGTTGCCTAAAAAATATTACAAAAAATATCATTAAAAACACCTCTAAAATAAAAGTAATGCAGCTTTAGTCCATGCATGAGGTAAAATTATAAAATACGTGTTTTTTGTAATTCCAAATGAGCTTAAACGGACTGAGTCAAAGGGTCTATCTTCATGGAGACCAAACTAAACCAAGTTACAGGTCAGATCTGTGGAGAGGCGACCCCACTCACGGTCAGAATGTCTGTTTTTCTAGGTATTTCTGAGCTATACCACCACATATAATTTAATAAATGTACAATAGAGCTGTTTAATGTCACACTGTGGAACATTCCAAGCAGGTGACGGCACCTTCACAAGAAAAGTTACACAATGCAGCTTTAACTTTGCACAAGTAGTGGTTTAACAAAGAAATATTGTTGCTAATATGTGTGTAAAATCCTTCAGAATTTCTCCTTTGCCTTTGCTAAAACGTATTTGGTTCTTTAAATCCACTTTTACTCTCGGGCTTTTAACACTGCGTGAGTTGTGTGGTCCTCTGTGTTTTTTATTTATTTTATTTATTTATGTATTTTATTGGCTTTATTTATTTATTGCTATTCTATGATTTTGCTCTTATTTTATTTAACTTATTTATTTTATCATTTTGTTATTGTATAGAGGCTTTGCACCGTCACGTGTCGCCCATGGCAACGGTACCTACGCCGCCATGACACCGGGCACGCTATGTCCTTGACTTCAGCAGCATCGGAGAAACATGGGCAGGTTTTGTTTTGTATTTGGTTGTTATAGACGCTCTGAACGGGATAAAATGATTTGTTTCTTCACTGTTCCTCTGGAAATGACTCATCAGGAGCTCAAACAAGGGAATAATCAAAAAAAGAAGCAGATTATGTCTAAAGAACATAAACCGTGAAGAGATTTCCAATGGTACCATCAAGACGTCGCTCGCGTCACTTTCATCAAGGTATTTGCTAGTTAAATTGTTTCATAGCTTATTTAATAAGAGAAGCACATTTACTGAACTAAAATTTAAAAAGAAAACATTTGCAGTAGAAACTGTATCTTCCAACGCACATATAAACATGTCACTCGTCTTAGAACCGAAGTTTTCTTTATTGCCTTGTTTATCCACAACTATGTCTTCTAGAATTAATCTCTTTTTGTGAGCGGATTTTTCTAACGTTCGCGAGGATCTTTTCATGGACGATTCTTTCGAGGTTCGGCTCACAGACTCTTCGACTCGTGCGTCATGTTGATCATAGGAGCCCAGTGTGGGTTCGTTGAATCGTAAACTAGTGCAGGTTTTCCTGGATAAATTAATGACATTTTAATTCAGTAAATGTGCTTCTTTCATTAAATAAGCTATGAAACTATTTAAATAGGAAATACCTTGATGACTTGGTACCATCGGAAATCTCTTCGGGGTTTATTTTCTCTAGCCATAATCCGCATCTTTCATTCGATAATTCCCTTGTTTGAGCTCCTGATGAGTCATTTCCAGAGGAACAGTAAAGAAAAAAAATCGTTTTCGTCTAGAACACAGTTGTCAAACCTACGGCCCGGGGGCCAGATCCGGCCCTCCAAGACCTTTAATCTGGCCCTCAGTTGATTTTCTACTAAAATATTTTAATTCTATTTTTTTATTAAAATCTTGTTAATTTTCTGTGGTGTTTATCACAGCAGCGTCTCCAGCGTCTCTGTACGTGGCCCCTCCCACCAGAGCAGCACAAATGAAGACTTGTCTCTTTCCAAACGCTCTTAAAGGACGATCGTTTTGACTGTTGACCGTGACACCCTCATCAGAAAAATGTCCAACATGAGAAAAGTGGAGCCGAGTGCAGGATTTTACAACAAAAATGGACTTATTCCTATTTATACAAGTTCATGTTAAAACATTGTGTTGAAATTGAATTTTTCTTAAAGTTTCAGGTTGTTCATAATATTATAATATTTTGTAAAAGAAAGAGTTCATCAATTAAAAAAGATTTCTGTAATAGATTTGTGTTTCTCTGCACAAATATTTGAACTTATTGTTATTTTTGGGGTTTATATGACATGAGTTTTCTGGTCCGGCCCCTTTGGGATCAAAGTCGGTTGGATTCGGCCCCCGGACCAAAATGAGTTTGACACCACTGGTCTAGAACAACCAAATACACAACAAAACCTGCTCATGTTTCTCCTATGCTGCTGAAGTCAATGGCATAGCGTGCCCGGTGTCATGGCGGCGTAGGTACCGTTGCCATGGGCGACACGTGATGGTGCAAAACCTCTATTGTTATTATTATGTATTTGTGCAGCATTTTGGAAACAGTTTGTGAAATGCGCTATAGAAATAAAGTGGATTGCATTGAAAAAAAATATACATATATCACAGACTCTCATGTTCAATTTATCGTCATATCGTGCTAATATTTTATTGTGAGCGTTGTTTTTTTTTTTATCGTATTGAATTGCGAAGAATCTTGTGATTGCTCTAGGTGTAACATTTTCAGTAAATAAAAAAGAACAAACATGAATGAATGAATGAAAAAGTGCGTCCAAACTTTTGACTGGTACTTTCGAAACCCATGGATAGTGTCCTTTTACAGTATAATTAATAAGCACACGATAAATTCTTCTCATTCATGTCGATTTCGGGTGTAAAATGTAATGATTCAGATGGATAACTTGCACCCAATCTACAGTAGCAGTCGCGTGTGTAATGTATTGATGGTATGTTTATCGTATTTTTTTTTTTGGCGTTGTTCTCACCTTCGCATACAGTTGAGGGCCGGGGTGAAAAAGTCCTTGTTGAGCTGGTGTTCGTCTCGCAGTATGGCACACTGCTCTAGAGTCACAGACATGGACGTCCGATCTTTGGCACTTTTACAGCTGGTAAACCTGATGCCATTCAACCTCCGGCAGATCTGAGCACAAAAGAAAACACAAGTGAGTAATTAAACAGTGTAACGTGTATCCGACGTCGTTTAAGGCGAGCGGAGTCGGGTTTAAGAGGCAAAGATAAACTAAAAACTGCAGGGTTCTCTCTCTCACTCTCCAAATCCAAGATTAGTCCTATTGTAGTCCTGGTTCAGACCTCGTTCAGTCCTGTTTTATTCCTGTTTTAGTCTCGTTTTAGTCTTTGTTTAGTCTTGTTTTAGTTTTAGTCCTGCTTTAGTTCAGTTTTAGTCCTGGTTCAGTCCTGTTTTAGTCTTGTTTTAGTCTTGTTTTAGTCCTTGTTTAGTCCTGGTTTAGTCCTGGTTTAATCCTGTTTTAGTCTTGTTTTAGTCTTGTTTTAGTCCTGGTTTAATCCTGGTTTAATCCTGTTTTAATCCTGTTTTAGTCTTGTTTTAGTCTTGTTTTAGTCCTGGTTTAGTCCTGGTTTAATCCTGTTTTAGTCCTGTTTTAGTCCTGTTTTAGTCCCGTTTTAGTCCTGTTTAATACTGTTTTAGTCCTGTTTTAGTCCTATTTAATCCTGTTTTAGTCCTGTTTTAGTCCTATTTAATCCTGTTTTAGTCCTGTTTTAGTCCTGTTTAATCCTGTTTTAGTCCTGTTTAATCCTGTTTTAGTCCTGTTTAATCCTGTTTTAGTCCTGTTTTAGTCCTATTTAATCCTGTTTTAGTCCTATTTAATCCTGTTTTAGTCCTGTTTTAGTCCTATTTAATCCTGTTTTAGTCCTGTTTAATCCTGTTTTAATCCTGTTTTAGTCCTGTTTTAGTCCTGTTTAATCCTGTTTTAGTCCTGTTTTAGTCCTATTTAATCCTGTTTTAGTCCTGTTTTAGTCCTGTTTAATCCTGTTTTAGTCCTGTTTTAATCCTGTTTTAGTCCTGTTTAATCCTGTTTTAGTCCTGTTTAATCCTGTTTTAGTCCTGTTTTAGTCCTATTTAATCCTGTTTTAGTCCTGTTTTAGTCCTGTTTAATCCTGTTTTAGTCCTGTTTTAGTCCTGGTTCAGTCCTGTTTTTAAAAAGTGCACTGCAAAAAGTGAAATCATGATTCCTTATCTTCTGCTACTGATCCAAGACTCAAATGAGTGAAAAATGCCTCAAAATGATATTGATATTGAGTGATATTGATACTTTTCCGACCTGGATGGAGCAACAACAGGTGAGCAGGTATTTGAGCTTGGTGTGTTCAGGTTTGTCAAAGGAGAGTCTGAGAGTATAAAGGGCCCAGATTGTGAAATTTTCTAATCTGTGTTATCACAAACAAGCCTTCACTTGAATCATTTGGACGATTTCAGCCCTGGAATTGCCAAACTCTGCTGAACTACGGGAGCTTCACGACGTCACAAGGTGGAACAGAGGATTTTGAGCTTTGGGTTAGAGATGAGATGTTGACAGACTAATAAACCAGGATTAATCAAACATGTGAATGAAACAAAACACAACTGCAGGTCTGTTTTAGAGGAGATAACAACATTATAATTAGTGCTGTCATGTGATTAAAAAAATTGAGAGATTAATTAATTATGATCTGTAATTAATTAATCTAATTAATCTCATTTTAATCTCACCTAAAAATTGCTGAGAAAAGCCTTCAATTTGAGGTATTTTCATTTAAATTCATTATTACATTATTGTGGCAGATCAAAAGACTGATATAAATAAAAAAAAAGTGACTTTATAAAGTCATTTATTGTTTAACAAATCTCTCCAAATTGGCTGTTGAGCCCAAGTCTCCATGAATAAGAAACTGTTTGCTGTAAAGCAGCAAAGACGAGGAAATCTGAACATCATAACTTTTGTCTACTTAAAGACAATAAAAAGTCCAGTCTTTCCTTAACCATATTAAAAATATTATTGATAGAGAAATGCTTTATATATGAGATCACTGGTTTTAGTCCTGGTTTAGACCTGGTTTAGACCTGGTTTAGACCTGGTTTAGTCCTAGTTTAGTCCTAGTTTAGTCCTGGTTTTAGTCCTGGTGTTAGTTCTGGTTTAGTCCTGGTTTAGACCTGGTTTAGTCCTGGTTTAGTCCTGGTTTAGACCTGGTTTAGACCTGGTTTTAGTTCTGGTTTTAGTTCTGGTTTAGACCTGGTTTAGTCCTGGTTTTAGTTCTGGTTTTAGCTCTGGTTTAGTCCTGGTTTAGTCCTGGTTTAGTCCTGGTTTAGACCTGGTTTAGACCTGGTTTTAGTCCTGGTTTAGTCCTGGTTTAGACCTGGTTTAGACCTGGTTTTAGTTCTGGTTTTAGTTCTGGTTTAGTCCTGGTTTTAGTTCTGGTTTTAGTTCTGGTTTAGACCTGGTTTAGTCCTGGTTTTAGTTCTGGTTTTAGTTCTGGTTTAGTCCTGGTTTAGTCCTGGTTTAGTCCTGGTTTAGTCCTGGTTTTAGTCTTGGTGTTAGTTCTGGTTTAGAGGCGCACAGGAGGAAGCGCGGTTTACGCAGCGTAGCGAGAAAACACGATCCACACGCGGCTCACGGGAGCACGTCGGTGTCCGCGCAGTAACTACGGAAGGAAACGTGGTCCACGCGTTCTCAGGTTAATGACGATGATGAAGGTGTGTGTTTGTGTGTGTGTTTGTGTGTGTGTTTGTGTGTGTATAGGACAGTAGTGCAGACAAAATGAGTCTATGCAGGTTGTTTTCACCAGTGACATTTAAGTTGTAGGCGATATTATATTTGTTATTTTCTTTTATATTTCACGTCGGGAGAATAATTTCCAAGACACGAATGCGTTTTACCTGTGGCTACTGGACGTTTACATCGCTGTTACTGCGCGCGTTTTGTGTGGGTTTCCGACAATGAGTGGAATTACCGAAATAAAAAAATGTATAAATGTGTTTTTTGTGTGTGTGTGTGTGTTGTTGTCCCAACAACACATAAAAACTGGTTTAATAATAAAGCAACTCGCATACAGAAACAGTAAATTTAGAGATTAAAAATGAGATTAACGCGATTAAAAAACATAACGCGCTAAATGTGACTGTAATTAATTAATTGCAATTAACGCGATAATTAACACCCCTAATTATAACATGGCTTAAAGTTCTCAACAGTCATTTTTTGTGTGTGTGTTATTTAGGACCTTTAAAGACCTAAGTGCAAGGTTCCCACTCTTTTTCACTGACAAACATTTCCATTACTTTTTTATGACCTAAAGTGAATTTTCCATGACTTTACAGCACCTACATGTGTAGAATTGATCAGACTTTTAGGGCTTAATATGAAATGTCAAGCCTTTCCACTCATCTTAAGGTTTTGTAGGGTTAAGTGGTAATACAGTATCACCGTAGCCCGCGGTATCAAAAGTTGCAACAGTATCAGTTTCATCACTGTCATAAAAAAAATCTGCAGCGCCTAAGGACTTAATAATTTATTAATGCCTAAATTTGTTTGCTCAGCACAAATGAATGTGTGGTTTTATTTTCAATTTAATATTATCACAATTTAAATCTGTAATGTTTTTTTTTTAACTGCGTGGGGAGACGACGTTCGATTTGTTTCGTTCTGTTGTCACGTGACGCTCATAAGGGAGACTAAGAGCCCAAACAGAATTACTACATCAGGCACCAGATTATAAGGAGCAGGTTTTGTTGATACTTTTCAATATTTTTAGGCAAATATAATGCTATTATTAATAATATTCTGTTTCTGAATGGTATAGGTGCAAGATACAACATAATTCTTAATAAGTCACGATAATACCGTATACTCCAATAAAATTCTGAGAAGGTTTAAGTATCAAAATTTGGATACCGCCCAACCCTATTGTGGCAATTATACAATGCAACAATAGGGATTAGAACAGATAGGAAGTATAGTAGTACTAGTAATAGTAGCAATAGTAGGGTCCGGTCAAGTGGTAACAGAGGGAAACGGGGCAGATTTTTTACATTCAAATGTCTCTTATTCAGAAACTAGAGGAACTATTGAAATAAGTAAAGTATCAGAATGTAGGAAAGAGTTACACTCCAACAGGGTCAAGTTAAACCTGTGATATTCTTTCAAGTTGTTGACAGAAAATTTAAAAACTCATGTCGGTAACGGAGGGAATGAAATATGCAGCACTTTTTGGGCAATAAATCCAAACAGTGATAACTAGCGGTTCTCACTCACTTCCATATCCTTAACAAACTGGTTTGATTATTTGCTTCATATAGTTTTCTACCATATGGTACAAGATTAGGGTGAAAAACCTCTTACTTTTTGAGTCATGAGATTTTTTATTAAGAAAGGTCATGGTAATGGAGGCATAATTTGTCATCTTTTTTCTTCCAAATACTTTAATATTACTTCAAAATGAAAGGAAACTATTTCTATAAAATATGTCAGTCCTTCCAAGCAAATTTTTATCATTTTAAATACATTTTTGTTTGAAAAATCATGTACCTTCATCAACAGTTCAAAGATGGAATAACACAAGATATGATGAAATACATCCAATTATTTACATGATTTTCAGGTCTTTGAAATTTGGGAAATATTTTTTGTTCCATGTTTCATACATGGTCTGTTTAAAACATATGTAACTTTAGAACCAAAAATGGTACAGAAAAAAGGTAAACAGTTTCATAAACTAGAGTACATATGTATCTGTTCAATACATTTTTATATCAGATGCATTAACTTGAATTTTTGGCCTTGATGTTTACTTCTGCTTGACCAGGCCCAGTAGTAATAGTAGCAAGAGGCTGGTTCAGAAGACCAGGGTTTGACTCGGAGGGAAGTGGGGCGTTTAATGAGACAAAAACACAGGGCTTGCAGTGCTTAGTTGTGGTGTTATTTACAGTGTATAAACAGACATTATTTACAATATTCACAAATGTTCAGAGTCAACGATCGAGGAGTTCAATGTGTTCCAGTTCTTAGTCCGAGCGCAGATGAGCCGCAACAACAGTTTATATAATCTACATTAGGTCACGCAAAAAGGCACAAAATACAGTTCCAGAGATTCTTGTGGTAATGTGGGTAATTCCCAGCAAAGTTCAATAAGGGCCCACAGCAGGGGGCAGTGGGTGTGCGAGTGTGCATGTGGGGTTGAGCGGCTGCTACGCCCCCTACTGCACCGGCAGATGCTTGCACTCTGAGTTTGGTTCAGGCTCTAGGCCTTAGCTCGCCATCCAGTGTCTGGAGTGTCCACTTTCTGGAACCTGGCCAGTTCCACTTAGTTAAATCACATAGGATCAGAACAGCACTTCATCATGAAGGCAAGAGGCATCTGCAGCAGCTCAGTCACACCCGGGACTAGGGATGGGCATTCGATGAAATTTTCTTAATCGATCGTCGAAAGAATTAACGATCGATTATCGATTAATCATTAACGTTTTTATATTAAAATGATCATCGTTATTATTACTATCTGCACTACTAATCTGCATAAATAAATTCAACTTTACGACATATAAACCGTAACCACTCTAGAGCCACATCAGCCCGTTTGACATTATAATGTGTTTAATGCAGTTTTGCACAACTCTCACAGAAACGAAACTTAAAACTGCATGGCGAATTTGCATAAACTAAGCGAAGAAAAAAAATACAGCTCTTGTGCGTTGATGCGGCACGAATACAGGTTAGTGTGACCATATTTGTGTTTGTCAAAACCAGGACACCGTACGGGGGGAGGGAGGTGGGGACTCGTCATCGACATTGCGCGACTCTCACCTGGAAAAACTTTTTCCCACTGGACACCGAAACATATGTACCTGTTTTGTGCACATGGCCTCCCACTTGTCCTGACCGCAACGGAAAGCGTGGAATTTCATTGTACAAATCATTGTTAAATACACATTTGTGCTTCGGCACGTTGCAGACTGACCGACTGTGTCTGCTCGCTCCTTCTGAGTGCAGAGAGCGACATGTACGGACCTGTTTGGTCACGCTACGCACAGCAACCTACATTCGGTTTGTTGATTAAAATGAACGTAATTGATGAAATTCTTAATTATCACTTAATCGACTAATCATGCCCATCCCTACCCGGGGCCGACACAACACACGACTGAATGTTAGTGCGCGCGGCCATGATTAAAGAGCTTGACGCACTAAGTCTCGCAATAGTTGAGAACAACCGTGGCCAAAATATAAGGTAGAGATGGGCCAGGGACAGAGAAATACCTGGGTTACACTATGGTTTGGTATTATAGTATTTTAACATTCAATATACTGTCAGTGCATTTACTGTCGTCTCTTTTAAACAAAAAGCGCATATGTTTGGAAATAAATATAATAGTCTAATGATAACTGAACAGAACTTTGTAGTTAGGTGAAAGAGATACTAAAATTGCATGACTTTTCCAGAATGTCCATGACCGTAGGAACCCTGTAAGTGTCTTAAATTTTTGTGTTTTCAAAGAAGTTATGGCAATTGTAAACAGTACACCACTTAACAGTCATAAAATATAAAGATTTAAAATGTTCTGAGTTCTTTTTCAATGCAAAAATCCATCACAGGGATCCGTCAAAGTCACGTCTTAGTACATAAACACGCAGTAACGTCAAGAAGCACTGTGAGGAAGTACTGGATTAGAGACGAGAGGGCACCATCAGTGTTAACACAATGTTTTCTGAGTGGCCAAACCCCACTCATGTTACTGTTTATTCACTTCAACACTGCTGTTCTACTCCATTTAATCCCAACGTGTGAAACTAGAGCCGAGCGTTTACAGCTGACAGTGAAGAATGGCCCAGGGGAGCGCTCGTCTTTCACCAAGGTGAGAAAAGGAAAGTGCCAATGACAGGTTCTGGTCATTCTCAAATTTCTACTTAATTTATGAATATAAATTATAGTTTTGCACAAATCAAGATACAATTTGAGAAGAAAAGCTGAAAATTATGTTTTGTTTTTCTCTGTCACCTGCTTTATGTGCACAAAAAAGCAATTAAAAAGTGAAATACATAACCAGCTATTATTGAATTCTCATTTATATTTACATTCTTTCCATTTTTTAATGCATTTGTGTGACCAAGCAGGCAGTTAGTTATGACGTAATAGAATGATACTAGATTAGAAAGCACCACCCATCTCATATTTTTCATTATTTTATATAAGATTTGTATAAAAGAAATTTTTTAATTTTTTTTTACGGTAATTTGAATTTGCACAAGAAACAAATAAGACTTTAGACAGGAGATACACGAGTCCAAACTGCAGCGTGGTCATAGACGTGTCTTGTGTTTCAGGTGAGAAATTACGATTTAAGTGAACATTTCTTTCTGATGATTATAATTTTGTCACTTAGGCTACGTTCAGACTGCAGGGCTTAATGCTCAATTCGGATTTTTGTGTGAAATCCGATGTTTTTGCGAGGTCGTTCACATTTCCAATTAAATGCGACTTGTATGTGACTCCTGTGTGAACAGTAAATGGCCAAAAAGTGTCCCGCATGCTCACTGGAGACACGACGACGTCAACCGCAGCGAGCGTGCTCTGTGTTTATGGAAGTTTTCCAAACATGGACGCGAGCATTGAGCACCTGGAGATTTTAAAGTTCCTCTCGTACCGGAGCCAGAACATGAACAACTTTTAAGGAAGAGATTGAGATCGTTTCAGTGACATGGAGTTCATTAACAATTTTTGCCTACTTCAGCGCAGAATAGTGACGTTTGTGGCTTGTTGATAACGCGTAGGTCAGATGAATGCACTTTGGCCGTTCAGACTGAAGTCACATGTCAAAAGATCAGATATGTATCGGTTTCAGGAGCACATATCCAAGTGGCCTTGAAAAAATCTGATCTGTGTCATTCACACTGTCATTAAAAGATCAGATACAGGTCACATAGGGGCCAAAAAATCGGATCAGAAACCTCCTCTGTTGTGATCTGTGTACTATTCATTCTTTTGAATTTAATTTAAGAACAAAAAGCAATAATGTTATTTCATTATTCCATTTTAGTGTGAAACAAAAAAATAGATTTTGAACTCTATTTCCAATATTTGATTAAAATTTTACGTCATCTTCGTCTTGGTGCCTATTTAAATTTTGATATTTTATTTTCCCCCTAAAGTTCTGCTGCTGAGTGTGCTGCCTGTGAATTCACTGTCGACTGAACAAAGGAGTGTTTATTTCGCTGCTTCCTGTTTTTGGTCATGGAGTTCAGCAATGACTTTCTAAGAAACGAAAGTGAAAGTGTTGCTATAAAAGAAGAGGACAAGTTTGATCACAAAACTGCAACGATTTTTGAGGTAAGTCCTTCTAGCAGCAGAACTTCTGAGGCAAATAAACCAGAGAGAATAAAATTGAAAAAGGCATGAGACTGTTTTCTGAGTGGTGATATTTTAAATAAACTTTAAATTAAATATTGGAAATTGGAAATCTTTGCGGACACCCTGCTCCACGGACTCGGTGTTCTCTCACTCTCAAGTCCAAGATTAGTCCTGTTTTAGTCCTGGTTTAGTCCTGGTTCAGTCCTGTTTTATTCCTGTTTCAGTCCTGGTTTAGTTAGTCTGGTTTCTTTAGTCCTGTTTTTAGTCCTGTTTTAGGCAGTCCTGGTTTCAGTCCTGTTTAGTCAGTCCTGGTTTAGTCCTGGTTTAGTCCTGTTCCTGTTTTTAGTCCTGTTCAGTCTGTTTTAGTCCTGTTTAGTCCTGGTTTCAGTCCTGTTTTATTCCTGTTTAGTCCTGTTTTCTGTCCTGGTTCAGTCAGTCTGGTTAGTCCTGTTTAGTCCTGTTAGTTCCTGTTTTAGTCCTGGTTCAGTCCTGTTTTATTCCTGTTTAGTCCTGGTTTAGTCCAGGTTCACTCCTGTTTCAGTCCTGGTTTATTCCTTTTTTAGTCTTGTTTTAGTCTTTTGTTTTTTTAGTCCTGTTTAGTCCTGGTTTCAGTCCTGTTTTAGTTTTCAGTCCTGGTTTAGTCCTGGTTTAGTCCTGGTTTAGTCCTGTTTTAGTCCTGGTTTAGTCCTGGTTTAGTCCTGGTTTAGTCCTGGTTCAGTCCTGTTTTAGTCCTCTTTTACTCCTGATTCAGTTCTGGTTCAGTCCTGGTTTAGTCCTGGTTTAGTCCTGCTTCTGTCCTTGTTTTAGTCCTGGTTCAGTCCTGGTTTAGACCTTTTTTATGGATTTCAGACAGACATTCGGGACTCTCTTCTAATATAAATTCATAAGAAGAGGATCCAATTCCGGGCCCCTTAGACTCTGGGGCCTGGGACCACAGACCTCTTTGCCCACCCCGAGTCGACTCCCCTGTGTTTGTGTCTTGTTTTCATGTATTGTTTAATGTTTTATTCAATTGTCTTTAATAAAAAAATCCAAATCCTCACCGCTCCTGCCAGCCAGAGGATCTCCACATTCTTCCTCTTCTTCGTCACTACATTCTGGCCCAGGCTTTCAAGTAGTTCCTTTATATCTCTGTGGGTCTGAAAACATGGTAGACCTGCAGCAAAAACAACGAGGTCAGAGGCAAAATAAAGTCATAAAAAAGTATTACATCGCGCGTTAATAAGGCTTTATAAACTGCACTGTACACGTATGGAGTTTTGTTATATAAAAGTTTGAACGCTCCATCTCATTCATCTCATTTTATTTATTTTTACTACTTTCTACATTTGTGTGTAAACGCACAAAAGACAGCAAATATATGAAGTAAGATATTTGGAATTATAGAGCAAAGAGCTTTTTAAATATTATTTTATATTAAAATCCTCAATGTAGCCACCCCTTACCTAGTGCCGCCGCTCAATTTCATTTCTCTCCAGCGACTAGATCAGGAATCAAAATACACTAGACCAGGGGTGGGCAAACTTTTTGGCTCGGGGGCCACAAAGGGTTCTAAAATTTGACTGAAGGGCCAAACCAGGAGCAGATGGATGGAGTGGAGAGAAAAAAATAACATGAGATATGCAGAAAACCTGTGCGTGAATTTCAATTGAAAGTCACTACAAAGCATCACAACAAAATATCTGTCTTTCTAAAACACTGAAAATTCAATTAATAAAATACTTTTTTTTAATCATTATTATTAACAATTACTATTTAAAAGCACTGAAAGTTCTGTTCTCCTTCAGGATCTTATCATCACTCTCCTCCTGACTCTTTATTTCAAAAACAGTAGAAGACGCAGATCTACTTCTGTTCAATGTTCGTCCTCAGAGCCAAAACTCAACAACGAACAACGCCAGGACGGAACAGTGACAGCGTGCCAGTCTGCGAGCCACATGTTATATTTGATCTGGTGCATTGTTTATAATGAGTGCGTTTACATGCACATCAGCATCTCGGTTACGATCGGGTTTTTTTGAGTCATGGCGCTTTTATGTGCACTATCCCGGTTACTGCAATGTAAAGTTGAGTGCGAATGTGCCCAAAAGACAAATACTTCTGAAGTACTTTCCGTCGCGCCATCTAGTTGAGGCCGTCACCATATCTTCTTTAGCCTACCTCCCTAAACTTGAATTTCCACTGACCAAAACGCGCAATTGCAGCACACCACAGTAGGAGCCGAGACACTAACTACATTTTTCCTCTATAACACCTTCTGTTCCGTTGTTTGTTCTGACGCGCTACGCTATGAGTGATAACTTCATAAGTGAAACCAGCTGATGAATCAGGCTAGATTTTTAGATGGTTACTTTTACTTTTACTTGAGTAGGAATTAAGCAAAGTAAAGATACTTTTACTTAATTACAATTTTTCTGTACTGATGAATCAGGCTAGCAACCCCCTTGCTTGGTCAAAAAATATTTAGTAGAGTTATTTAACTTCGCTACATAATTCCATGTATCTTGCTTCGTATATTTGATGTCTTCTGTATGTATTTACATTAAAATAAAATAAATAAATTAATAAAATGACACTGAATGAGAGGGTGTGTCCAACGTTTTACAACAACAGTCAAAAGTTCGGACACACCCTCTCATTCAGCATTGTTTTTTTCTTGATTTCCACAACTTTCTCAGTGAAATAACGCAACTAAAAAACCTGTGGAGTTGTTTACCATTTTTTCTTTGCTACATAATTCCATATATCTTGCTTCGTATATTTGATGTCTTCTGTATGTATTAAAAAAATGAATAAAATAATGTTGAATGAGAGGGTGTGTCCAAATTTTTGACTGTTGTTGCAAAAGTCTGAACACACCCTCTCACCCAGCGTTGTTTTTTTCTTTATTTTCACGACTTTCTCAGTGAAATAAGTTTTTTCTTTGCTATGTAATTCCATACACTGTGCCTTGTGTCATATATTTGATGTTGTCTGTATGAATTTAAATAAAAATAAAAGAAATAAATGAATAAAATAACGCTGAATGAGAGGGTGTGTCCAAACTTTCACGACAACCGTCAAAAGTTCGGACACATCAACTCATTCCGTTTACCGTTTTTTCTTTGCTAGATAATTCCATATATCTTACTTTGTATATTTGATGTCTTCTGTATGTATTAAAATAAATAAAAAAATAAATGAATAAAATCATGCTGAATGAGAAGGTGTGTCCAAACTTTTACGACAACAGTCAACAGTTGAAAGGCCATGATGAGTGACATATTTCATGTATTGCAAAAGAAGATGTGTTAAATGTGTGTTTCAGAAAGCATGCGTGAATCCACAACTCCAGACATGTCTTTGGCAGAGACGGGAAGAAAATTTTGGACGGATCTGGTTACAGAATACTGAATACCTGCTTTAAAACGTACTGTACAGTATTTTTGAAACATGGTTCAATCAGGGCACTGTAAAAACATGACATATAATTGCAAAATCTACTTTATTTTTGTTGTTACGCAATCATTTAACTAAGACTTATGCTATTATGAATGTATCTTAGCTGTTTTTTGGCTTTTGTATGGGAAGCACTTCGGTACCTACAGTATAGAGACAAAAAAAATCTGACATACACTTTCTTTTTCTCATTTTCATTTTCATTTTCTCATTAATATGGTGCAGTTCAAAGCCAAAATTGCAGATAAAGTGCTGCCATGTATTCCTTAAATTTTAGGAAAGTAACTATATTCTTAAAACCAGCAAATGAAAAAAGAACTGTGCTGTAAAATGTAAATTAAAAGGTGTAAAATTCGTATTCAGAATGTGTATTTTCAGTACATGTATTCAGTTAGTTCCCGGCGCTGGGCTTTGATGAAGATACAACATTATAAGAAGCAAAGTTTAAAGGAGCACTATGTAAGTTTTCTAGTAAAGAGTCTGCCATCTGCTTGTTTCCATGGAGATGTACCGTATTTTTCAGACTATAAGTGAGTAAAATTTTCAGAGTTTAAGTCGCATTAACCAGAAAATGCGTAATGAATAAGAAAAAAAATAAATAAAGTCGAACTGGACTATAAATCGCACTTTTTCGGGGAAATTAGTTTTATAAAATCAGAAACCAGGAATCAAATCTCATCATCATCTTTTTATATTTTCATCCTCGGTATCACTTCTGAGCAACCACGTCAAACTGAGCGCCGCTTCCTCTTTTGTGTAGCTGTCATCGGACTCAGCGTCAGTTCCAGTTAGAATTATTCCGGTCTTTCTGAATCCCGACAAGATGGTTTCGGTTGAAGTCCAGGCTTTGTTGATCCATCCAGTGATTTCCAGGAAAGTTCCACGGCGCTCCCTCCCAGTTCTCACAAGTTTCTCGCTCACTCCAAACTTTCTTTCTGCTGCTCGATGACTGTTGTCCGCTGCATATTTCGCTACTAGCAGCTTGTAATCTGCATAATATGATTTTCTTTTTGGGGGCATTTGTGTTCAGTCTTCTCAGTCGTCTTTATAAGTTTGTTTAAATGATTTAATTTTCAGTGGTGCAGAAGTAATGGTGCGATCGACTGACAAGATACAGACAGGACAGACGCTCTTTCTGCAGGAGACATGCGCAGTAGAGCCAAGTGACAGTGGTACAGGAGTAATACATGCATCACGAATCTTGGACTTCCGGTCATTGTGCAATACATACTGGGAAGGATTTTCTAAAAAAGTGAGCATCAAACTGCCATGTTTGATTTCCCAGTAGGATGTGTCTTTTGTCAAAGCTGATCTTTTCTAGTCTTTTGAACCATATCGCTTTTGTTTCTGATTCTGATATTATCATATTTTAGTTTTGGGATTCAGACATTGTTAATTGTGTGGTTGTTAGATCCTAACAGTGGAAAACGGCTCGAGAAATTTGTTTGTGAACTCCATAATGTTTTAACAGCGGAAAACGGCTCGAGAAACGGGCTTCAGAAGTTTACGACCTCCATAAATGCAAAAGGGAATCAGATGTGTGTGACTGCAAACCTCTGTTTAAACTATTTCCCTTCCCAACGGAATTGAAAAATAGTGAAAAGCGAAGGCGATGGGCAGGATTGTTCCACAGGAAGAACCAAAAAGGAAACCTTTGACTGCCTAAGAAACCATCCCGAGTTTGCAGCGAACATTTTGTATGTGGAGCGACAACAAAGCAAAATCCCATTTGTTAAATGAGAGGTACAGAAGACAAACAGGCTGAGCTCGCACGTTCTTGTTCTTGTGGCTTTACAGCAACATCACGTCTTGGTCTCTTTGCAGTGGAAGTTGTTTCTTGGTGAACAGTTGGTGCTTTTTGTTTGGCGTTGACTTTTTAAATTCGTAACCAAGGTTGAGCGAGGGATCGGGATTTTGCTTTGATGGCGCTCTACATACAAAATGTTCGCTGCAAACTCGGGATGATTTCTTACCTTTTTCGTCCTTTCTGTGTATCAATCCTGCCCATCGCCTTCGCCTTTCACTATTTTTCAATTCCGTTGGGAAGGGAAACAGTTTGAACGGAGGTTTGCAGTCACACACATCTGAATCGCTTTTGCATTTATGGAGTTCGTAAACTTCCGAAGCTTGTGTCTCGAGCCGTTTTCCGCTGTTAGGATCCAACAACCACACAATTATGATGTCCGAATCCCATAACTAAAATATGACAATATCAGAACCAGAAACAAAAGCGATATGGCTCAAAAGACTTGAAAAGATAGGCTTTGTCAATAGACGCATCCCACTGGGAAAACTAACATGGCGGTTTGATGCTCACTTTTTCGGAGGATCCTTCCCAGTATGAATTGCGCGATGACCGGAAGTCCGAAATTCATGATGCATGTGTAGGAGCAGCAGATACTGACACACAAGTCTAGAACGCTCTGTCAGTGTGAAAATGTTAATATATATAAGTCGCACCGGAGTATAAGTTGCAGGAAACACCCAAACCATGAAAAAAAGTGCGACTTATAGTCCAAAAAAATCCGATAATTGCTCTACCTGAATGTTCCACAGTATGACATTAAACTTATCAATCTCCGTGTAGAAAAGCAGATGAGCACACAGAGCCAACTCACGGGTCAGATCTGCGAAGAAGCAATCCCGCTTCAAACAAGAATGCACGTTTATCCGAGATAATTACAACGCCTGTAGTTGAATGGCTCAGTTTAATGTCATATTGCGGAACATTTCAAGTAACGGAAAAGCATCTCCAGGGACACGACAGATGATAACGTTACCCAGTGCGGCTTTAAAGTTTTAACTACTCACTTTCACTTTCACTTACATTCTAACGGCACCGTATCGCTTAATAATTTATAATAGGCTTCTAAAATCTCAAAGTTCTTCTGGTTTATTCGTTCTTGCAAAGAGATGTCTCCAAATCTGTAAGAAAAAAAAAACACGAGAAATTAGAATACTTTATTATGAATTACAGTATTATTATTAAACTGTTTTACGTTCGGACATGGTGGGAAGTAAAAACTTTTATAACCTCTTGACCTCTTCAGGCATGAGGGAACGTTATAACATGGTAGAAAGCAAAAGAAAAATCAAAAACACCCCCTCTTTTTTACTTTCATTAGTACATTAAATGACGTGATAGCTTTACTAGTTATTTAAGATGAAACTATAAAGCACAAAGATCGTTATTTCACACTTTTTTAACAGTAACATGATGTTGTTCCAAAACGATTTAAGAACAGAAACTGACTTGGTGTTCAAAAATGCAGAAGGAAAAAGCCCTGCCCTGATTTCACCATCGTAAACACAGACACTTTAGACTGAGCAAAGGCTGTGGGCGAGGATTCTCAAGCCCTAAATGCAGGACAATACAAGGAAAACGTCACTTATAATGTTGTTTTCTTGTCGCAAACAGACCTGGAGTTGTGTTTTGGCACTCTGTTTCACCTTGTGATGTCATGTTTTAATACAGGAAGAGATCCAGTGTGTTTTTAAACTCCATACATCTTCACTAGAAACTTTTGGATGAGTTCAGCCCTTGAACTGCCAATCTCTGCTAAACTAAAAGTAAAAGGAGCTGTTAACTTGAAAACTAACGCTTCTCTTAACTCTAGCCAAATTAAGATGACTTGGATTAAGAAAGTTTTATCATGATTTGAGTAAATTTCACTTGAAAAGTAAAATTATCTGCCAGTGGAACAAGACTTTTTGTACTTATAATTTGAAAATACTAGCCTGATTCATCACTTCATGGAAACCGTCTGACCTTGCAGCATTAGGATTCGTTCGCTCGACGGTAAGCAGGTACTTTTTTTTTTATTTAACCAATCGCTGCTATTTGGTCGTGACATATGTAATAACTAACTGGTATATTAAGTTTTTCCTAAAGCCCGTAGGAAGAAGGGCAATAACGTCTTTCCTCTTGATAAAATTCACCAAACATTCTCTTTGTTCTGGCTTTAAATCCTCGATCTCGGGAATCGTTGCCAACACAGAATGTATGGCTCTTCTCTGATTGGCCGGTCTACAACTTCCGGGGTTCTTGCAAATCGTCTAGTGTATTCCGATTCCTGGCCCAGTCGCTGGAGAGAAATGAAACTGAGCGGAGCCTGGCTATGAAAATACATCTTACTACACTTAAAATAAGAAAAACAACAACTCTTTACACTTAAAATGAGAAACAAAAAATCAAATGTTGCTTGAATTAAGAAAATCATTTTGTAGATTTTAACCATCTTGTCTCTTCCTTAAGATACATTATATTGGCATTGAACACGTGGAACTGCCCCCTAGAGGTGGGAATCTAGAAATGCTCCTGTCAAAAAGAAAACACTTCTGGATTCACCAACTTAAGACTCTAGTTCAGGCATGTCCAAAATATGTCCTGTGGGCCAAATGTGGCCCTCACACCAATTTTTCTTACCCCTCAGGCTTCCAGGTGAATTGGCCCAAATTAACTTTTAACTGCAAGTTTTTTGAATATTTACCTTGATAAAGCTAATATTTAATATGTAGTTTGTGGTTTTGTGGTGCATAAAAACTGGTGGCTCATTCTAACGTGTTAAACATGCACATATTTCAATTATTCACTGTACTGAGCTCCAGTCTACGGCCCTCGATCTGTGTTTAGATATGTGGCCCTTGATGAAAAAAGTTTGGACACCCCTGTTCTAGCTCCTCAAGGACTGAATGTGGAGTTTGATCTAAGATGTTTTTTGTATTGTATAGACTGTTTTTTTATGTAAATATCTAAACTTTTTTTTTTTTTCTTGTTGTAGAGTGGGCTGAACTCACTGGGTGATCTCACTTTGGGACCTTCCATTCGTAGGAGGGGTATATGGGCACCTGGGCTGGCAACCATTTTGTGTGCTCTGGTCCAAAGCAAGAAAAATATCTGATGAAGCCGAAACGTTATTTTGAAAATAAAAAAATCTTCTGGACATCGGCCATCTGAATGTGTTATGCATTTTTTCGCTTTTGGCTTGAATTAAGAAAAACACACTTGTTCCATTGGTAGATACTTTGACTTGTCAAGTTGAATCGAGTCAAATAAAGTTAAATGTTCTTAATTTAAGTAATTTTAATTCACATAGATAATGTTTTTTGCAGTGTGACATCACAGAGCATTTTGAGTTTTGGAGATGTAGACAGACTAATAATAATATAATAATAATAATAATAATAATAATAATAATTATTATTATTATTATTATTATTATTATAAAAGAGTTACTCAAACATATGTGAATGAAAAAAAATGACAAATCCAGGTCTGTTTTTGGTAAGGAAACGTTATTAAAACACATCTTAAAGCTCACAAGAGTCAATTTTGCGAACTATTTACACACGATATCCCCTTTAATTCTCCTTATTCACAGTTTACAGTTATGTTGTGGGCACGTGTGAGCCGACAGGGGCCGTACCTCTCTGCTATCGTCTGTTGTTCATTGATGCCCACGTTGAACAGCAGCGGGTAAACCTGTACAGGCCTGCCGTCTCTCAGCTCCTCTGGCAGCGTCTGGAACAGCTGGCACGGTAACGGCACTTCTACGGTAAAGTGGTCTCTGAAACAAAACAGAAAAATTGGGACTCGTTCAAGAATGTTTTCGAATCAGTTCAGTAATTCTCTTTTTTAAAGATGGGGAGAGAAACCGGTGTCAAGATTCATACAGTAACGCGTTTTTGAGCAGTCAAATTCTGTCTTAAAGGCGTGCTGTGTAACTTTTCTGGTGGATGGTCTGGTCTGTTAAAGTACACAAGAAAAAGAGTCAGTATCGGGAATCTGCAGCTTCACCCTGATCCAAGTGCTCCGTGGATGTAAACAGACACACGTGAGGAGCTACTCTGGCCTTTTTACTTTCAAAGAACGCCTCAGACTGGATTAATAGCATGGATTTGTGGAGTGGATGTCATTATTTGCGGAAGACAATTTCTATGGATAATGTGGATGAGATGGTGCACTTTAAATGTACCATATGTATCCACAGCAAAAGACTAACCGCTACGCCAAATCTTTTATTCCTTCTGCCATAAAGCTTTTAAATGGAAAATGAATTTGCTATTGTGTCCCTGATGCACTGAAGCTTGAATATATGATGTCTGTTTTTCTTTTTCATTTATTATTTATTATTTATAGATGGTGCACGACCAGAGATGTGCGAACTGAATTGCCCTTTGAGATTAATAAAGTTGTTGATTGATTGATTAATATTTTTCGGGCTATAAGGTGTACTTGAAATACTTAAATTTTCATTGCGCCTTATGTATTAATTCTGGTTGTGCTTACTGACCTCAAATCGATTTTATGTGGTACAAGGAGCTCAAAAATCTGTCAAGATGTTTCAGTACGACTTTGGTAAACTACAAAGCAGCACCGGTTGATGGATTGTCGGAGCATTACGGCTACTGTAGTCAGGAGCTTCGCAGAGTAATGCCGGGCGTACACTGTGCGATATTTCACTATGCCCCAGCTTAAACTGTACGACCAAATCGCAGGGTTTAAAAGTTCACAGCTCACGAATCATGTTTTCAAACTATACAAATCGATGCTCGGATGCGATCTGCCTGTGCACACTGTACGTTCACATAACGACCGGAGTTGTTGTTGTTGTGTTGTAGAAAACCACAAAGAAGAAAACCACGGAATTAGAAAACCATAGACGTGCAGAGACACAATGCTGATCCAGGCAAAAAAACAGATCTAGCCTTGGCAATTTGTGCCATTCTCTGCACAGACAAGCCCAAAGAGAAGAGACGATGAATATCAAAGAAATATGGGTGGTGTCCGCACATGCTCAGTCTGACAGATTCTGGGAAATCGGCTCGTGGAACTACTTCAACAGAGCAAAACCCTCACGAGAGGCGACTGGATTTCAAACAAGTTTGATTTTCTTGCAACCTACGAATGCCGATCGGGAGCTGGTCGTGAGGTATTAATCGGTTTTCTTTACCCCATGTAAACTACACGAAGCACGACACACGATGAAGCCAAAACTCGGCCCGATCCCCAAAACAAGTCACACGAGTGAAAAATCGGCTCAAAAAGGGTCAAAAATCGCACAGTGTACGCCCGTCTTAAGTCTGACAGAAGCTGAACCGCATCAGCGCACAAGGAGCGAGCTGTTTTTTCAGCGTTTATACTTTATGCAAATTAGTCATGTGGTTTTAAGTTTAATTTCTGTACAACGTAAACAAATGTGCGCAAAGCTGCATTAAAAACATTATTACTGAATGTATATTTGAGTCCTCCATGTAGGAAATAAAAAAATAAACTTAAATTATGGTCTATGTAGTTCTGTCTGTCTTTTTTTTGCTTCTATTGCTGCATCATAACTCTTAATTTAAGCAGAGACTTGTAATTCGATATATTGTGATGATCCACGATATTATTGTGAGAACTCTGACGATACGATATCACGATGTTTCGGTTATTGTTACACCCCTAGCGTCTTATAATCCAGTGCACCTTACGTATGAAAATAGACGGAAGAATTCAACATTATTGGTACTGCGCCTTATAGTCCGAAAAACTACAGTACAACTTTACGAGAGGTGAGTAATCAATCAAGTACGGAAGCCGAGGGGGTCACAACAAATGCAAACGCCGCAACAAATACAAATGCGACAACACAACAAAAAGCCACAACAAACCAAAAAAAGCCACAATGGAAATGACCGCGGGACTCTATTTTAATGCAAACACCGCAACAAATACAAACGCCACAACACAAACGCAAATGCCGCAACACATTAAAAAGACCACAACGGAAGTGACCGCGGGACTCTATTTTCTGACGGACCGATCAAGCGGTAAGTGAAGAAGAACTACACAACGTGAAAAGTAAAGGAACGGAGAAGTTGGAAACATGAGTAAAAGTAATTTATTGTTTTATCATTATTAATTTCACGTTGTAGTTCTTCTTCTTCACTTGCCGCTTGATTGGTCCGTCGGAAAATAGAGTCCCGCGGTCACTTCCGTTGTGGCTTTTTAATGTGCGGCATTTGCGTTTGTTGCGGCGTATGCATTAAAATAGAGTCCCGCGGTCATTTCTGGTGTGGCTTTTTTTGGTTTGTTGTGGCTTTTTGTTGTGTTGCCGCATTTGTATCTGCTGCGGCGTTTGTAATCAAGGGCTTCAGGGACACAATAGCAAATTTACTTTCCATTTAAAAAACTTTATGACAGAAGGAAGAACAGATGTAGCCTAGCGGTTGGTCTTTTGTCGCGGGGTGACATAAAGTCTTCTCATTATTTTTCTCGTTATTATTCCGTTGCCTGAGTTTGTGTCTTGCGTCACTCCGCCTGCCCCTGACGCTCTGTTTTATTGGCCGTTACCGCGGCGATGTTTTACTGTTATGATCTGACAGAGCCGCTCGGAGCCACACTGACGCCGAACACGGAGCAGATTCAAACTCCTGGAGGAATTCGCATTATTTTGTGAGTGCTACTGTTCTTCCAGAAGAGAAGATAACTTGTATATCTGTAAGAAAAGGACAAACATGTTCCGAAAAAAGCGTGATGAATGACGCTTTTCCCCTCAGCTGATGTGAGGAATCGATATGTGGTTCATAGAGTGCGTAAATTTGAGCTCTTCAGGAAGTTGCATAATGGACCTGTGAGTGCACTGTGAACCACCAGCGAGTGTACGAAGTGCTGATTGAGACTGATCCACTCAAACTTCTATGTGTTAATGTCCTCACATGAACCCAATAAAACATTTAACAAAGAAATGGGAGGGTCAGAGAGCGAGGAGTGCGGATGTAGATAGGTTTGGCTCTGAAACAAGTCTGCCAAAAGTCGAAAGGTACATTATTCTTACATAAAATTGAACAAGAACATTTTACGGTGCATTGTGCAACTTTTCTGATGGTCCGTTTCCATGGAGATGTTAGTCCTTTGTCTAGAATATTTAACAGTATGATATTAAACCTTTCTATCTCCACGGAGACCAAACCAGGCCAGGTTCCAGGTCAGATCTGTGGAGAGATCTGTGTTTTTCTACATAGTTTTGAGCTATAAAACCACCTGTAATTGAATAAATGTAAAGTAGAGCTGTTTAATGTCACACTGTGGAACATTTCAGGCAAAGCAGTGACTTTTAGAGCTCATACAAACAAGCAGGACCAAAAAGTTACACAGTGCACCTTTAATGTGTACTTTTTTATTGCCTGGTTTAGTCCTGGTTTAGTCCTGGTTTAGTTCTGGTTTAGTTCTGGTTTAGTCCTGGTTTAATTCTGGTTTAGTCCTGGTTTAATTCTGGTTTAGTCCTGGTTTAATTCTGGTTTAGTCTTGGTTTAATCCTGCTTTAGTCCTGGTTTAGTTCTGGTTTAGTCCTGGTTTAGTCCTGGTTTAGTTCTGGTTTAGTCTGGTTTAGTTCTGGTTTAGTCCTGGTTTAGTTCTGGTTTAGTCCTGGTTTAGTCCTGGTTTAATTCTGGTTTAGTCCTGGTTTAATTCTGGTTTAGTCCTGGTTTAATTCTGGTTTAGTCCTGGTTTAGTCCTGGTTTAGTCCTGGTTTAGTTCTGGTTTAGTCCTGGTTTAGTCTGGTTTAGTTCTGGTTTAGTCCTGGTTTAGTCCTGGTTTAATTCTGGTTTAGTCCTGGTTTAATTCTGGTTTAGTCCTGGTTTAATCCTGCTTTAGTCCTGGTTTAGTTCTGGTTTAATCCTGCTTTAGTCCTGGTTTAATCCTGCTTTAGTCCTGGTTTAGTTCTGGTTTAATCCTGCTTTAGTCCTGGTTTAATCCTGCTTTAGTCCTGGTTTAGTTCTGGTTTAGTCCTGGTTTAATCCTGCTTTAGTCCTGTTTAGTTTCTGGTTTAATCCTTTAGTCTTGGTTTAATCCTGCTTTAGTCCTGGTTTAGTTCTGGTTTAGTCCTGCTTTAGTCCTGCTTTAGTTCTGGTTTAGTCCTGGTTTAATCCTGCTTTAGTCCTGGTTTAGTTCTGGTTTAATCCTGGTTTAGTCCTGCTTTAGTTCTGGTTTAGTCCTGGTTTAATCCTGCTTTAGTCCTGGTTTAGTTCTGGTTTAATCCTGATTAAGTCTTGGTTTCCTGCTCAAAATACTTTTATTTTTTACTTTTTAAGATTTTTTCATGTGCTACTTTTACCTCAGTGTTTTTGTGCTTTGACTTAAAGCCGCGCTGTGTAACTTTTAGGCTGGGGTTTAGAGCTCAAAAACACCTAAACAGATCTGACCTGTAACTTGGTCTGGTTTGGTCTCCACGAAGACAGAAAGCTTTAATGCCATACTGCGAAACATTTGACGGACCCTCCACAAGAAAAGTTACACAGTGCACGTTTAAGTAACAAAACCGTGTACTTTTATTTGACCTTTCAACTTTTTAAGATAACGGAGTCACTGAGAGGCTTGTAAACGCAATCAAACCAATCACTAATACAAGGGAAATTACAGATTATAAATCACTATTAAACTCTAATAATAGCATCAGAGGACAAAGGGTAGTAATGGAGTGAGCTGATGCCACCCACGAGCAATAAAAAGTACATATAATCCACTAATAAACAGTGTTGGGGAGTAATGGATTACATGTACCGGCGATACGTAGTCATGTTAACGTTGGTGGTGTCAGTCAAAGAGCCAGAGTCCACAGGGCACAGGTAGAAACGCATTTGTGTCTTGGAAGTTCTTCTCCCGACGTGAGATATAAAAGAAAATAACAAATATAAACTCGCCTACAAGTTAAAAAAAACAGCCTGCAGAGGACCTCAGGGACCGGCCTCCTGCTGGTGCCCAGAGTCAGGACTAAACAAGGGGAGTCAGCGTTTCAGGTTCATGCAGCTAAAACCTGGAACAGTCTGAACATGTGAGACAGACTCTTCTGTGACGCTGTTTAAATCCAGACTCAAAACATTTCTGTTTAACTGTGCATATAACTGAAAGGTTTTCATTCCGCACTCTTCTCTCCAATTTATGTCTCTCTTTTTTAATTTTAATCTTCATGATTATTTATGTTTTGATTTGTTTTTATTATGATTTTAATGTATTTCTTATTCTGTAAAGCACTTTGAATTACTTTGTGTACGAATTGTGCTATACAAATAAACTTGCCTTGCCTTGTTAAGCCCAATAAAAAACAACCTGCACAGGCTCATGAAATCTGCAGGACTGTCCTATAGTGACCTGAGACATGAGAGGACACACACACACACACACACACACACACACACACACACACACACACACACACACACACACACACACACACACACACACACACACACCTTTATTATCGTCATCAACCTGACAACGTGCGGACACCGTCGTCCTCTCATGCGCCGCGTGTGAACCGCGTTTTCTCTTGTGCGCCTCTAAAACTGAACTAACACCAAGACTAAAACCAGGACTAACCCAGTCCAGGATCAAACTAGGACTAAACCAGGACTCAAACCAGTTCTAATCCAGGACTAATCCAGGAGTAATCCAGGTCTAAACCAGGACTAAACCAGGACTAATCCAGGAGTAATCCAGGTCTGAACCAGGAATAAACCAGTTCTAAACCAGGACTAAACCAGGACTAAACCAGGACCAAACCAGGTCTAAACCAGGACTAAACCAGGACTAATCCAGGAGTAATCCAGGTCTGAACCAGGAATAAACCAGTTCTAAACCAGGACCAAACCAGGTCTAAACCAGGACTAAAACCAAGTGTAAACCAGGACTAAACCAGGACTAAACCAGTTCTAAACCAGGTAAACTAAACCAGGACTAAACCAGGACTAAACCAGGACTAATCTAAACCAGGACTAAACTAAACCAGGACTAAACCAGGACTAAACCAGGTCTAAACCAGGACTAAACCAGGACTAATCCAGGAGTAATCCAGGTCTAAACCAGGACTAAACCAGGTCTAAACCAGGACTAAAACCAGGTGTAAACCAGGACTAAACCAGGACTAAAACCAGGTCTAAACCAGGACTAAACCAGGTGTAAACCAGGACTAAAATCAGGAGTAAAACCAGGACTAAACCAGGACTAAACCAAGACTAAACCAGGTCTAAACCAAGTCTAAAACCAGGACTAAACCAGGACTAAACCAGGACTAATCCAGGAGTAATCCAGGTCTAAACCAGGACTAAAACCAGGTGTAAACCAGGACTAAACCAGGACTAACCCAGTCCAGGATTAAACTAGGACTAAACCAGGACTAAACCAGTTCTAAACCAGGTCTAAACCAGGACTAAACCAAGACTAAACCAGGACTAAACCAGGTCTAAACCAGGACTAAACCAGGACTAATCCAGGAGTAATCCAGGTCTAAACCAGGACTAAACCAGGTCTAAACCAGGACTAAAACCAGGTTAAACCAGGACTAAACCAGGACTAAAACCAGGACTAAACCAGGACTAAACCAGGACTAATCCAGGACTAATCCAGGACTAAACCAGGTCTAAACCAGAACTAAACTAGGTCTAAACCAGGACTAAAATCAGGGGTAAAACCAGGTCTAAACCAGGTCTAAACCAGGACTAAACCAGGTCTAAACCAAGTCTAAACCAGGTCTAAACCAGGACTAAACCAGGTCTAAACCAAGTCTAAACCAGGTCTAAACCAGGACTAAACCAGGTCTAAACCAAGTCTAAACCAGGTCTAAACCAGGACTAAACCAGGACTAAAATCAGGGGTAAAACCAGGTCTAAACCAGGACTAAACCAGGTCTAAACCAAGTCTAAACCAGGTCTAAACCAGGACTAAACCAGGACTAAAATCAGGAGTAAAACCAGGTCTAAACCAGGTCTAAACCAGGACTAAACCAGGTCTAAACCAGGTCTAAAACAAGGACTAAAACCAGGACTAACCAATATGACGCCTAACAGTAGGTTGGACATAATTTAAGGTGATCTCATATAAAAATCATTTCTCTATCAATAATATTTTTAATATGGTTAAGGAAAGACTGGACTTTTTCTTGCCTTTATGCAGATAAATAATCTTATGTTAAAATCCTAGTCTTTGCTTCTCTACAGCAAACAGTTTCTTATTCATGGAGATTTGGGCTCAGCCAATTTGAAGAGAGCAAACAAGAATTTTCAGGATGTGGTCGCTACATTCATGTCGTTTTAAAAAACATGAAAATATCAACTAATCCAAAGTATTCAGATTACGTTACTCACTTTAAGTAATTTAATGGATTACGTTACAAACTACATTTTGGGATATGTAATCTGTAATCTGTAGGGGAATACATTTTAAAAGTAACTTTCCCAACACTGCTAATAAAGAGTAGATATACTGCAGTCCTACCGTCTGCCACACACGTAGGGCTGCAGATCACTCAGCTCTTCAGACTTGGCCTGGGTGATCTTGAAGACGACTTTCCGTAAATCTGATATTCCCACTTCCATGTCCTCGAGCATCCCGATCTCCTCACCTGTACAAAACATGAGCGTGAATTACAGCGCCTGTGATTCTTTAATTTCTATTTTATTTGGTGCTATAATACCTGTTGCAAAAAGGGATGTAACAATAACCGAAATATCGTGATATCGTATCGTCAAAAGTCTCACAATAATGTCGTGGACCGTCACAATATATCGATTTAGAAGTCTTTTTGCTTAACTTAAGAGTTATGGTGCAGGAATAGCTAAAAAAAATAATAATAATATGGAGGGAACTACATAGACCATGATCCTTTGCTCCATTTCAGTGCGGACTACAAGAAGAAATAACAGCTCATGGTGCACGTTGAGCGTTCTGTTGTTTTTTCCAATGTGGTTTTTAAATTGTGCTAGTATATAACTTTTTGTGTAGTACTAGTTTAATCCTGGTTTAGTCCTGCTATAGTCTTGGTTTAGTCCTGGTTTAGTCCTACTTTAGTCCTGGTTTAGTCCTACTTTAGTCCTGGTTTAGTCCTGGTTTAGTCCTAGTTTAGTAATGGTTTAATCCTGGTTTAGTTCTGGTTTAGTCCTGGTTTAGTCCTGGGTTAGACCTGGGTTAGTTCTGCTTTAGTTCTAGTTTAGTCCTATTTTAGTCCTGGTTTAGTCCTACTTTAGTCCTGGTTTAGTCCTACCTTTAGTCCTGGTTTAGTCCTACTTTAGTCCTGGTTTAGTCCTACTTTAGTCCTATTTTAGTCCTGGTTTAGTCCTAGTTTAGTCCTGGTTTAGTCCTGGTTTAGTTCTGGTTTAGTCCTAGTTTAGTCCTACTTTAGTCCAGGTTTAGTTCTGGGTTAGTCCTACTTTAGTCCTGGTTTAGTCCTACTTTAGTCCTGGTTTAGTCCTGGTTTAGTCCTACTTTAGTCCTGGTTTAGTCCTACTTTAGTCCTGGTTTAGTCCTAGTTTAGTCCTACTTTAGTCCTGGTTTAGTCCTGGTTTAGTCCTACTTTAGTCCTGGTTTAGTCCTACTTTAGTCCTGGTTTAGTTCTGGTTTAGTCCTACTTTAGTCCTAGTTTAGTCCTGGTTTAGTCCTAGTTTAGTCCTACTTTAGTCCAGGTTTAGTTCTGGGTTAGTCCTACTTTAGTCCTAGTTTAGTCCTGGTTTAGTCCTACTTTAGTCCTAGTTTAGTCCTACTTTAGTCCTGGTTTAGTCCTACTTTAGTCCTAGTTTAGTCCTGGTTTAGTCCTAGTTTAGTCCAGGTTTAGTTCTGGTTTAGTCCTACTTTAGTCCTAGTTTAGTCCTGGTTTAGTCCTACTTTAGTCTAGTTTAGTCCTAGTTAGTTTAGTCCTGTTTAGTCTACTTTAGTCCTGGTTTAGTCCTAGTTTTTAGTCCTGGTTTAGTCCTACTTTAGTCCTGGTTTAGTCCTACTTTAGTCCTGGTTTAGTCCTGGTTTAGTCCACTTTAGTCCTGGTTTAGTCCTACTTTAGTCCTGGTTTAGTCCTACTTTAGTCCTGGTTTAGTCCTAGTTTAGTCCTACTTTAGTCCTGGTTTAGTCCTGGTTTAGTCCTACTTTAGTCCTGGTTTAGTCCTACTTTAGTCCTAGTTTAGTCCTACTTTAGTCCAGGTTTAGTTCTGGGTTAGTCCTACTTTAGTCCTAGTTTAGTCCTGGTTTAGTCCTACTTTAGTCCTAGTTTAGTCCTACTTTAGTCCTGGTTTAGTCCTACTTTAGTCCTAGTTTAGTCCTGGTTTAGTCCTAGTTTAGTCCTACTTTAGTCCAGGTTTAGTTCTGGGTTAGTCTACTTTAGTCCTAGTTTAGTCCTGGTTTAGTCCTACTTTAGTCCTAGTTTAGTCCTACTTTTAGTCCTAGTTTAGTCCTGGTTTAGTCCTGGTTTAGTCCTACTTTAGTCCTAGTTTAGTCCTGGTTTAGTCCTACTTTAGTCCTGGTTTAGTCCTAGTCCTCCTTTAGTCCTGGTTTAGTCCTACTTTAGTCCTAGTTTAGTCCTGGTTTTAGTCCTGGTTTAGTCCTTTTAGTCTTTTAGTCCTACTTTAGTCCTGGTTTAGTCCTACTTTAGTCCTGGTTTAGTCCTAGTTTAGTCCTACTTTAGTCCTGGTTTAGTCCTACTTTAGTCCTGGTTTAGTCCTACTTTAGTCCTGGTTTAGTCCTACTTTAGTCCTAGTTTAGTCCTACTTTAGTCCTGGTTTAGTCCTACTTTAGTCCTGGTTTAGTCCTAGTTTAGTCCTAGCTTTAGTCCTGGTTTAGTCCTGGTTTAGTCCTACTTTAGTCCTGGTTTAGTCTGGTTTTTGGTTTAGTCCTAGTCCTACTTTAGTCCTAGTTTAGTCCTGGTTTAGTCCTAGTTTAGTCCTACTTTAGTCCAGGTTTAGTTCTGGGTTAGTCCTACTTTAGTCCTAGTTTAGTCCTGGTTTAGTCCTACTTTAGTCCTAGTTTAGTCCTACTTTAGTCCTGGTTTAGTCCTACTTTAGTCCTAGTTTAGTCCTGGTTTAGTCCTAGTTTAGTCCTACTTTAGTCCAGGTTTAGTTCTGGGTTAGTCCTACTTTAGTCCTAGTTTAGTCCTGGTTTAGTCCTACTTTAGTCCTAGTTTAGTCCTACTTTAGTCCTAGTTTAGTCCTGGTTTAGTCCTACTTTAGTCCTGGTTTAGTCCTACTTTAGTCCTAGTTTAGTCCTGGTTTAGTCCTACTTTAGTCCTAGTTTAGTCCTAGTTTAGTCCTGGTTTAGTCCTAGTTTAGTCCTAGTTTAGTCCTAGTTTAGTCCTAGTTTAGTCCTAGTCCTTTAGTCCTGGTTTAGTCCTACTTTAGTCCTAGTTTAGTCCTGGTTTAGTCCTACTTTAGTCCTAGTTTAGTCCTAGTTTAGTCCTGGTTTAGTCCTAGTTTAGTCCTAGTTTAGTCCTCGTTTAGTCCTAGTTTAGTCCTGGTTTAGTCCTAGTAACCGCCATGTTTGTTTTCCCAGTGAAATGCGTCTACTGTTAGTTTTGGGATTCGGACATTGTTAATTGTGTGGTTGTTTTATGTCCGAACAGCGGAAAACGGCTTGAGAAATTTGCTTGTGAACTCCATAAATGCAAAAGTGAATAGATGTGTGTGACTGCAAACCTCCGTTCATAGTTACGTATAAAACAAACAGTGTTGTTACTATGCCAAAAGTCATATTTTGTTACATACTTTCAGACTGAAATCATCATTGAATGTCATAATTTCAAGGTTTGGGTAAGTTCTTGAAAAACCTGAAAAAAATGACTTAAGCGATTATTTCATTTGTCAGATAATGGACACACACACACACACACACACACATCTTACCCTGGTCTTCCTGTCGAAAAATAATACACATTAACAAGGGCATTTCTAATAATAATAAATTCACTAAATATATCACAACGCAGACTTGTGGACTGACTCAAATGACAGACTGGGGAAAGGGCGACTGAATGATCATGTAATCTTAATTTGTTCATTATTATCATTATTATTGTTGTTGTTTTTACGAAATTTGTGTTAATGACGAGTTATTTGTAACATTTTCAAATGAATAATATACAAATTTACACACAATATTTTTTAATCTTTGTGTTAGAGCCTGGCCGATATATCGGTCGGCCGATATTATCAGCCGATATGGGGACCTGGAGACATAACAGCTATCGGCCGATATGCTTGCTGATAGGGGCCGATATTTCACGTGGGCATGTGATACGTCGTTATAAATCTTAGACTCTCTACATTATGTTCACTTAATCCAATTTACAGACGGACAGATGTCTTAATATGTGGCTCTGCATCAGTATTTATCTTCGGAGTCATTTGTCTGCGTGTGTGTTTTTCTCTTCACGCCGCGTGCAGACTCGTGGCAGTTTGACAGCGGCAGTGGCTGAAAACGAAACTTTCAGAAATATGCGTGTGCATAGGATAGAAAAAACTTGCATGTTTGACTGTAGTTCAGCATAAAATAAATAAACCAGGACTAATCTTGGGCTTGAAGGAAGGAAGAGAGATAGAGATCAAGTCCCGACACTCTAGACCTGCTTGCAACAAAACAATCGGAAGAGCCACTTGGGAGCCGAAAGAGCCAGGTGCTTTTAGTGAGCCGAGCCAAAATAACCGCTCTGGAATACCCATCACTAGTGTTTACAATGTGATGCAAAAATGCCATTAGGCCGACCTACTGTCTGTAAATATGACGTAAATAGTCAGAATAACAATAAATGTTGCCTACATAAACTCAATTTAAAACCCACCAGAGCCAAACCTAAGTTTTTTAGACAATTAAAGATTTACAATGAATTTTTACATCACTAAATATATCGGCAGCTCCAACTCCAATTGTATCGGTTTCATATCGGCCACAACAAAATCCATATCGGTCGGGCTCTAGTTTGTGTCATGTGGTGTGAATAGTTGGTGCCCTTGGACTGAGAAATGGATGCTGTGCCAAAAGAAAACTAAGCAGCATCTGTTCTGTCTTAGTTTGTAATTATCTTTTTCATTCACTCAGGACGAGGTAGATGAGCCAGAGCTTGAAGGTGTCGCAGTGGGTCTCCTTACAGTCATCAGTGACCATGATGCAAGTCCAGTTCATTCCCACCCTCGGAGAGCGTCTGTCATCATTGAAGGTGATGTTGTGGTCAGCCTCCCCACACTTGGACTACACCTCAGTTATCCCAAAGCTCTGACCAGCACTTTTGAATTCACTCAGAAGATTTTACTTGGTTTACAAAGTGGTAAACTGTCACCCAGGCTGCAAGCCATCAAGAATGACTTGACGATGTAAGTAAACCCATGCTTTTATTTACCGTTTATGATCGTATCAAAATAAAAGATGTTAAATTTTGTGCCTTCTTTATCAACATTATTATCAGTTTGTACGACCATGAACCAAAAAAATAAAATAAACATCTTTACATTCTTCATTCTCATTTTGCTTATTTTGATACGATCATAAACAGTAAACTTCTGTGCCTTCTTTATACAGCCATGAACGAAAAAATAAATACTTTTTTTACTCTCACTGTTTCATTATTATTATGAAATTAGTGTTAATGACGAGTTATTTGTGGCCATTTAACATTTTCACATGAATAACATACAAATTTACACACAATATTTTTAAAGTTTGTGTCATGTGGAGCCCCCCCCCAATGTGTGTGAATGGTTGGTGCCCCTGGACACGTGTCACTGGGCCATATGGAAAATCCGGCCTTGGCCCCCTCCCTCTGATCCAGACGCAGCTCCTCAAACTTTCTCCTCTTTCTCTCCTCTTCTGCTTCTCATCTTTATAACCCAAGATATGGAAAACAAACAACTATTTCTCTGTTTTTGAGTGAAACTTAAGACCTCGTTTAGTGTACGGACATCGCACGTGTTTGTGTTGATAACGATAGCGATAGCGCGTGTAGCGTGTGCATGTTTCTGTTGATAGCGGTAAAGTGTGTAGCGTGGGCACATGGTTGTGTCGATAGCGGTAGCGCGTGTAGCATGTGCACGTGTTGCTTATGCACATGTTTCTGTTGATAACGGTAAAACGTGTAGCGTGTGCACATGTAGCGTGTGCACATGTAGCGTGTGCACATGTAGCGTGTGCACATGTTTCTGTTGATTACGGTAAAGCGTGTAGCGTGTGCACATGTAGCGTGTGCACATGTTTCTGTTGTAAATGTGAATTTCTCTGGAAGTTGAATAAGTTGGAGGAAAATCAAACAGATAATCTAAAACAAAACAAATCAGCTATTGTGAAACTTCTCTGTTCATTTTACAAACTTAAGGTCCTTGACAAAAAGCACAGACACTGTGAAATTTTAAAGAAACATATCCTATTTAACTTTGAAAATGTCACCAATTTTAATAATGTTTAATAATTTTTTAAGTGTCTTGACTCTGATACAGCACTCAATTCAGAAATACATGTACATTTACACACAGAGCGAACACAAGAGGAGCTACTGGTGGTAATTGTGTTGTCCCAAAGTTCAGGACAAACTCTGAACAAACTGTTCAGTCTCTTTCTCTGCCAAAGGGACCAGACTGTGGAACCGTTTACCAGATGATTCAAAAATAGAAACCAATAGCAACAAATTTTAACGTAAATTAAAATTACTGTATGTTTCCAAACAAAAATGCCCTCACTGAAAAAGTAATAATGCTGTATGTATGTGACTAAAGTGTCTTGTCTTTTTTTTAGGCATGTATTTTATATTTTTTTATATGGACGGGTGTTGAAAATTGAAAAGTCTGATGCGATTGTGATGTCCTTAATAAACATAAATAAAAATAATATCGCCCAGCCCCAACTCCAGGTCTGTTTTTGCAGGGGTAACAACATTCTAACACGTCTTAAAGCTCACAGGAGTCGGTTCTGCGTAATATAAAACTTTAAATATCACCGGAGTCTACAGTAGAAGGTTGTGGTGTAATCTGAAACCCGGCTCTGTTTTAGTTCGGAGCGTCGTGTGACTCACTGTAGGTGCTGAGGAGACTCTCAAACTGGGCCACGAGTCCGACGAGCTCCAGCTGCTGCAGGAAGCCTTTGTCCTGAGCTGCTGCGTACAGCTTCATGACAAAACCACATACCAGAGCGGCCAGCTGCAACAAACAACGCACAAAACACAAAACACACACATGTTTACAATCTGTGGTTCATTTTTGGTTTTTCTAAGTAAAACCGAAAATAACTAAATGAAAAAAAATCAACAGTTTTCTTCATTATTTGTCTCCAAAATCAAAATGAAAAAAAAACAAAAACAAAAAAACAAACATATGGACTGAACCAGGACTGAACCAGGACTAAACCAGAGTAAACCCATTTCAATTCAGGTCTCAGTCCCGGTCTCAATTCCAGTCTAATCCTGATTTCAGTCCTGGTCTGGTCTCGGTCTCAGTCCTGGTCTCTGTCATGGTCTCAATCCCGTCTGGTCCCGGTCTCAGTCCCAGTCTCAGTTCCGATCTAGTCCTGGTCTCAGTTCCGGTCCTGGTCCCAGTCTCAGTTCCGGTCTGGTCCAGGTCTAAGTCCTGGTCTTAGTTCTGGCACTGGTCCCGGTCTCAGTCCTCCTCCTGGTCTGCAGTCCCAAGATAAGAAACAAAACAAAAACAAACGAAGATTAAAAGAACTCAAGGGGATGTTTAAACTTTTTCTAACTGATAGTGATATGAGATGAGCTGCGTTTCAGAGATTAAGCAATACATAAAAAAGAAAAATAAGAGCAAGAGTTCACAGAGGGTATTTTGTCTGACGGCTGTGTGTGTGTGTGGTGTTCATGATTTACAAGGAATTTCACAACACATAATGGGTCCAGTTCATGAATGTTTCCCTAAAAATGTTTTCTTTCACTTTCACTATCATGAAACCTTTCACTTTCCACTGCATTGTGTAAGTTTTTTGCTTGACTTCGCGGAGACAGTGTTGCTTGTCTAGAACGGGGGTTTTCAAACTGGATTAGAGAAGATAAAGACAGTTCCCTGTGCACAAAATACCACACATCTGCCCAAATAAATGCATCTTTTGTCTTCCTGCAATGATGAGTTTCAATAACAACTGATAATATATATTTTTTATATTATAGTTCATTTTTAAAAAAAAAAGTTTTTTAAAGTGCATTCATAAACGATTTTTGCAAAAACAATTAATTTCCAACTTCATGCAGGCGAATTATAACATCACTGAACATCAGTAGGTCACCAGGATTAAACCAGGAATAAACCAGGATTAAACCAGGACTAAACCAGGACTAAACCAGGTCTAAATCAGGTCTAAACCAGGACTAAACTAAACAGGTCTAAAAGGACTAAACCAGGACTAAACCAGGACTAAACCAGGTCTAAACCAGGTAAACCAGGTCTAAATCAGGTCTAAACCAGGATTAAACCAGGACTAAACCAGGTCTAAACCAGGTCTAAATCAGGTAAACCAGGATTAAACCAGGATAACCAGGAATAAACCAGGATTAAACCAGGATAAACCAGGTAAACGGTCTAAACCAGGATTAAACCAGGACTAAACCAGGTCTAAACCAGGACTAAACCAGGACTAAACCAGGTCTAAACCAGGTCTAAACAGGTCTAAAGGAAACCAGGACTAAACTAAACAGGTCAGGTCTAAACCAGGACTAAACCAGGACTAAACCAGGTCTAAACAGGAAACAGGACAGGATAAACCAGGATAAACCAGGATAAACTAAACCAGGACCAGGATAAACCAGGAAACCAGGAATAAACCAGGATAAACCAGGATAAACCAGGATAAACCAGGACTAAACCAGGACTAAACCAGGTCTAAACTAAACCAGGACTAAACCAGGACTAAACCAGGTCTAACCAGGTCTAAACCAAACCAGGACTAAACCAGACTAAACCAGGACTAAACAGGTCTAAACAGGACAAACCAGGACTAAACCAGGTCTAAACTAAACAGGTCTAAACCAGGTCTAACACTAAACAGGATTAAACAGGATTAAACCAGGAATAAACCAGGATTAAACCAGGAAACCAGGACTAAACCAGGACCAGGACTAAACCAGGTCTAAACCAGGACTAAACCAGACAACCAGGTCTCAACTAAACCAGGACTAAACCAGGTCTAAACAGGACCAAACCAGGACTAAACCAGGTCTCAACCAAGACTAAACCAGGACTAAACCAGGACTAAACCTGGACTAAACCAGGTCTCAACCAAGACTAAACCAGGACTAAACCAGGACTAATCTTGGATTTGAGAGAGAGAGAGGACCCTGAGCCTGTGGGGCAGGGGGTCCAGCAAAGTACAATCAGGAAATGGCTACGCTTAGCCCTGTGGGGCACGGAGCTCTGCACCAGTGTTGTGTCCTCGGTCACCCGATGGTCCCGTCCCGACACTCAGTCCTAGTTCAGTCCTGGTTTAGTCCTCCTGGTTTAGTCCTCCTGGTTGAGTCCCCCTGGTTAAATCCTGGGATCAGTCCTGGTTCAGTCCTGTTCAGTTCAGGTCCGGTGGTCTAGAATGTTACACAGTATGTTATTACTGTCTGTCATCAAGGAAACCAAGTTACAGGTCAGATCTATGGAGAGGCAACCCCGCTCACAGCCAGAATGCCTGTTTTTTGAGCTGTAAAACCACTTGTAACTAAGTAAATGTAAAGTAAAGCTGTTTAATGTCATACTGTGGCACATTCCAGCCTTGCATCGTCAGCAGAATAGGTGCGGTTGTTGAACTTGACTTGGCCCAAGGACGCCTCATTTGCGGAAATCTTTGATGACAAATCTCTTGACCTACTGACCCCAAATTGGCTCTGAGGGACCATGAGCCTGTACTGAATCAGTGTGCAAAATTTCACAACTTTTTGGACCATGGAATCCTGCAGTGTGATAGAAAAAAAACAAAACACAACTCCAGGTACGTTTTTCAGGAAGTTTAAACGTGAAAAAATGCATACCACACTCAGATGTCTGGTCCTAAAGCATTTTTTTTTAATGTGTGTGATGCATTTTTTCATTTTTAATTGCTGCTTCTTGCATTTGCAGCTCTACAAAAACTTTGGAGTCCGTTTTAAGTTTCATTTCATGTTTCTGAGGAGGTAACATCATCATATCACCGACACCCACCGCCTGACTGAAGACCACATCCCTGCGCGTTTGGAGGAGGAAACCCTGTGGAACGCTGCAAGCTGCTTCCTGTAGAAGAACAAAAGTCATGGCTCTTTTGGCTTGGTCCACCACCTCCTTCACACAGTCCTGCAGGCGGCTGACCAATGGGCTCAGCTGCTCCCTCCAGTCGCCTGGAAACATATTAAACAGGCACAAGATAATTGACATTTGTTTATTAAGAAAACACATTCCTTCCGATGAGTCAGCTTGTATTCGTAAGTTCAACAAGTTAACAGAAATAAAATGCAAAAATGAAACACAGATTTAAACAACCACACATTGCATAATTACAAAAAGTGCATTAGAGACACAGATACTTTATTTATCCCGAAGGAAATTCAAGTTTTCACTTCTCGGTCGCCTTTGTGTCTCCGTCAAAGGTCAAAGGTCAGGTCTTGCGGGTAAAAACGACGAAATATTTTATCATAAGTGCCTTTCGTTTAGACGGTGACGGCGTTTTTGGGGCTTTAAAAACTCCAGAAAAGTGGAAAAGTTGAAAACGCTCCGCCGTAGCTTTTCCGTCTTCACTGCCCAAAACTCTGGTCAGATCTGATTCACACTATAGATCAGATAATACTCCCTACAACCGTACAACAACTCACCTTATGTAACAGATAATACTCCCTACAACCGTACAACAACTCACCGTTATGTAACAGATAATACTCCCTACAACTGTACAACAACTCACCGTTATGTAACAGATAATACTCCCTACAACTGTACAACAACTCACCCTTATGTAACAGATAATACTCCCTACAACTGTACAACTCACCCTTATGTAACAGATAATACTCCCTACAACTGTACAACAACTCACCCTTATGTAACAGATAATACTCCCTACAACTGTACAACAACTCACCCTTATGTAACAGATAATACTCCCTACAACCGTACAACAACTCACCCTTATGTAACAGATAATGCTCCCTACAACTGTACAACTCATCCTTATGTAACAGATAATACTCCCTACAAATTTTCAACAACCCACTCTTATCTAACATATAATGCTCCCTACAACTGTACAGCAACTCACCCTTATCTAACATATAATGCTCCCTACAACTGTACAACAACTCACCCTTATGTAACAGATAATACTCCCTACAACTCTACAGCAACTCGCCCTTATGTAACAGATTTTCACTTATTCCATTATTTTCATTTATTCCTTACGACCTCTTGTATAAAGTTGATTTTTATATTATTATTATTATTATTATTATTATTATATTATATTATTATTATTATTATTATTATTATTATTATTATTATAATAATAATAATATTATTAATATAATAATATATAATAATAATAATAATAATAATAATAATTAATTATTATTATTATTATTATTTATGTATTTATTTTAATATGACACCAGTCTCTTGCCATCTTTTTTCTATTTATTTAGAATTTATTATTACAATTTTTTTTTTCTTTTTTGCTTATTGTGATGTGTGAGCAACTGTGTCCAAGTACAGTAATTTTTCTCGTGGATAAATAAAGTCTGTCTAAGTCTCAAAGGGCAAACAACTGCACAGGTACTACAAGGTTTTTACTCTCCTAATAGTTCCACCTTCAAAACAGTCCACATCGGCACATTCTTCCGCCGCTAAGTACGCCAAAAATAACATCTATATCCAAAACCTGTTTGTCCAACTATGAGGACCATTTACTGGAAATGAAAAGTGTAAGTGAGCATACCTGAACACCCGATTCACACGAGTTCATTTGCAGTGTTTCGAACAAGGAAATAATGTGAGGCTGCTATTTAGTTTCTATTATTTAGCTATTTAGCAGGATTTAGTAGGTATTTGGGTATATCTATTAGGTATATCTATAGTTTAATTATTTAGTAGATATTTAGTAGGTATTTAGTAGTATTTAAGAGGTATTTAGGTATATCTATAAGTATATCTATAGTTTACTTATTTAATAGATATTTACTAGGTATTTAGTAGATATTTAGTAGGTATTTAGTAGATATTTAATAGGTATTTAGGTATATCTATAGGTATATCTATAGTTTAATTATTTAGTAGGTATTTAGTAGATATTTAGTAGGTATTTAGGTTTATCTATAAGTATATCTATAGTTTACTTATTTAATAGATATTTAGTAGTATTTAATAGGTATTTAGGTATATCTATAGTATATCTATAGTTTACTTATTTAATAGATATTTAGTAGTATTTAATAGGTATTTAGCTATATTTATAGGTATATCTATAGTTTAATTATTAAGTAGTATTTAGTAGGTATTTAGGTATATCTATAAGTATATCTATAGTCTAATTATTTAGTAGGTATTTAGGTATATCTATAGTTTAATTATTTAGTAGTATTTAGTAGGTATTTAGGTATATCTATAAGTATATCTATAGTTTAATTATTTAGTAGTATTTAGTAGGCAATTAGTAGTAATTGGTAGGTATTTAAATATATCTAAGTATATCTATAGTTAAATTATTAAGAAGTATTTAGCAGTATTTAGTAGGTAGTGGGGTGCCAGTGGTCGTTGTGTTCTTAGGCAAGGCACTTCACCCAGATTGCCTAGTATGAAAGTGATGTGTGTGTGTGAGTGATGGTGGTGGTCGGAGAGGCCGATGATGCAGATTGGCAGCCTCGCTTCCGTCAGTCTGCCCCAGGGCAGCTGTGGCTACAGTAGTAGTTTACCATCACTGAGAGTGAAATGAATGAACGATGAACTGTAAAGCACTTTGGGTGTCTTGAAAGGCGCTGTATGAATGCAATGATTATATTTAGGTACATCTATAAGCAGAGGTGGGACCAAGTCGTTGTTTTGCAAGTTTCAACTAAGTCTTAAGTCTTTGACCTCAAGTCCAAGTCAAGTCCCAAGTCAAATACAGGCAAGTCTAAATCGAGTCTTGAGTTACTGGCCCATAAGTCCAGGTCAAGTCCAAGTCGTCTGCTTTGAGCCTCAAGTCATTTCAGGTCTTTAAACCAAAGTGCCAGTTTATATGAATTTTAAGAGAAATTGTACTTTATTATATTTTTCTAACTATTTATATAAGAGTATTTATATAAACGTCTTGTCAAGATTTTAGTGTGAATCATTATGGTTAGAATAGAAAGAATTCAGATTTAAAAGTGCTTAATAACTGTTATTTTATCATGATGTTCTTTGTAGTTCTCTCCGTATTACATCATTGTACTATATATTACTGTATTGTACTGTTTGTTACTGTAGTACATTTGAGTATCGCAGTACTTCAGTTACATCCAAAGTACCAAACATAGAAGTTTATCAACTGTAAAGACAAAAACTATTTTCTATAAACATATATATTTTTAGGAGAAGCATCAAGTCTTCTCAAGTCACAGGCCTCAAGTCTGAGTCAAGTCAATAGTATTTAGTGGCATTTAGTAGGTATTTAGTTCTATAGTTTGTTTTTTACATTCTTACAACTGGGTGTATAGCCTTTTACCTTTATTATTATTATTATTATTATTATTATTATTATTATTGTTATTATTATTATTATTTTCCCACCAGCTTTGTTTATTGAATAGTATTAACATTACCAGACACACCAGACACATTAACAAAGTAAAAAATATGGATTATCAAATAAATACAAATATACTAAGAGTAGTAGTAATAGATACATTAAATTAAATATATAAAATTAAAAAAGACAAATAGGGATGCAAAAGGAGGAAAAGAGCTCATAAAGATGTTACAACATTACAGAAGTTACATAGGATAAGGAAAAAACATCGTCATCCTCCAGATCCCGAGGAAGTCTAAGGAGTCTACTGTATGTGACGTAAAAAGCGGTCCCAGGTAGCATGAAATAATTTAACAGAGCCTCAATTTTTCAAAAAGTGTGAAGTAGGACTGACTGGGGAGTTTCCAATTAAGTAAAATCAGCTTTTGAACCAGGAAGGTGGTAAATGCTTTTGCCCGTTTCAGTGCATTAAGCAAATTTGAAACAGGGGAGGTCACCAAAAATTGCAGAAATAGAGTTTAGAGCTAAAAAATATATGTCCACAGGGATCATAGTTTGGGACAATAACCTTTTACATTTATGAAACCAGAAAAGTTACAAAATGCGCGTTTAAGTATAATTAAAATTCTTCAAAAATGTGCATAAGAGTGCGTGAAAACATTTGCTTTTCTATGCAAGAATTCAGCAATACTCCGAGACGCCAACAGGAGGCAGTGTTGCTTTACTTTAGAATTCACTTTACAGTCTTCGCAGCTCAGCATCCACAAGTAGCTGAAAGTTAAAAAAAAAAAACAAAAAACAACACCACCACCACCACAATATCTTCATATATGTGAGAAAGAACTATAGTATGGAGAATATATAGGATGCCCTGTCACTGAAATCAGCTCTTATCTCGCTGGGCAAATAGCACAGAGGCACACACAGGCAGCAAGCACCGGCCCGGCTCCAGCACGCACCTGTCCAAACAGCCCAATACCCACAATGCATTGTCATCAAAAGCCGGTGGTCCCTCCAGGAGATAAAGCCAATGTCATTACGGGCTGCCATGTTTGTATTTAGACAAGCAGATGAGCACTTCCTCTGACGCTGCATCTTAATAAGGGAGCCACGGGGGTCGTCTTATCTCCGCACTCGGCGCCGACCAATTCAAACACGCACACAAACACGGCCTCCGAAAGCACGCTGTAAATAATGACGCTGTAATTGAAGTAAAAAAAAAAATAAAAAAAAAATAAAAGACCGACCGGCGCTGTGTCCTTGAGCAACACACCGAGGGGCGGCAGTAGCTCAGCTTTTAGAGCGTTTTTTCCACCTTCAAATGTGCCAGATAATACTCCCTACAACTGTACAACAACTCACCCTTATGTGACAGATAATACTCCCTACAACTGTACAACAACTCACCCTTATGTAACAGATAATACTCCCTACAACTGTACAACAATTCACCTTATGTAACAGATAATACTCCCTACAACTGTACAACAATTCACCTGTATGTAACAGATAATACTCCCTACAACTGTGCAACAACTCACCCTTATGTAACAGATAATACTCCCTACAACTGTACAACAACTCACCTTATGTAACAGATAATACTCCCTACAACTGTACAACAACTCACCTTATGTAACAGAT